GAATAAGCCAGCATCATTGAGGTGAACTCTTCTGGGAAGTGTTTCCTGAGAGCACAGAGAAGCTGTATTCCAGAGGTGGCCAAGGTTGTACCTCCTCCTGGCAGCCGGACTTGGTAATGTGTGTCACCCTAGTGGTATTGGTTTTGAAGGCATGAAGGTATCATGGAGAGCAACTGAGCTGAGACTTGGCACTGTGAGAGGCAAGGAAAGGCCACTGGTGAAGGTGCAACCTCAGTAGCAGTTGAAGGCCCAGGACTGAAGGGGTCATGCAGAGAGAAGCCAAGGCTTGGCACCATGAAGAGAGTCTATGATGGGCTACTGGTGAAAGTGCAGTCCAGTTGCAGTAGAAGACCCCAGCATTTTGGAGATGCCAGTGTCCTGGGATGACCACCAAGAACAACAGCAGCCGTGGAGTGGAGCCAGCTGGAGCCCAGAAGACAAGTTGTGTATGCTGCAGAGGGTGGAACTGGAAAAGTGACCCAAGCCCCTTGGAGAAGTCCAGAGGACCATGAGTGGATCCCAGGAATTGGATGGTTGAAATTTTGTTTTGCTTTGATTTGATTGTTACTGCACCCTGATTTTACTGGAGCCCACAGTTGAGAGATTTTGAACTTCAAAAGACTTTGGATTTTAAAAGAGATTGGTTATTTTTAAAGGGACTGGAATTTTAATGTGTTTGAATTTGTAAGACTGTGAACTTTTAACGTTATTTATGTTTTAACATGAGATCTTGGGGATGAATAGTAAAGGAAGGATTGTGGCTTAATAGTTATGTGTTTGTACATCAAGTTGACAACAGATGGTTTTGTGTCAACTTAACACAAGCTAGAGTCATCAGAGAGGAAGGAACCTCAGTTGAGAAAATGCCTCCTTGAGATCCAGCTATAAGGCATTTTCTCAGTTAGTGATCAATGGGGAAGGGTCCCTGCCCACCATGGGTGGTGCTACCCCTGGGCCAGTGTCCTGGGTTCTATCAGAAAGCAGGCTGAGCAAGCCATGGGAAGCAAGCCAGTAAACAGCACCCCTCCATGGCTTCTGCATCAGCTCCTGCCTCCGGGATTCTGGCCGGAGTTCCTTCCGGAGTTCCTGTCCTACCTTCCTTCAGTGATGAATAGCAATGTGGAAGTATAAGCCAAATAAACCCTTTCCTCCCCAACATGCTTTTGGGTCATGGTGCTTCGTCGAGGCAATAGAAATCCTAACTAGGATAGTGTTCTATAAAGCAGTACATTAATTCTATCTTACCACAACCTGTTGTATAGTTCATGAAGAACTAAGAGGGGAGCTTGAAGACCCAAACACACAAAATGATGACTTGCTGTATCAGAGGATGGAAACGCTAACACAGTCCTGATTCAGTCATTATACAATACTGACTTCCCATACTGTGTCCTGAAACTGTGCTATGTCCACTAAAAGGAAAAGACAGAATGGAAGAGAGTAAGTAAAGGGAAAGTTTAAATCAGAAAAGTAATGATGCACAAAGATGGGTTTCCCGTTACATCTAATTTCAAGAGGTACTTAAAATTAATGCACATGGAATTAAGATCTATGTCAAGTATGGGCAAAGTGGTGTGTATCTGGAATAATTTCAGGAGGAGGAACATCAGCTGATCAGAATCAACCATGGCTACAGAGCTAGCTCAAGGCCGGTTTGGTCTACATGAAGAATTCCAGGCCAACTAGGCCTACATATTGAGACTCTGTTTTGTTTGTTTGTTTGTTTGTTTGTTGTTTGTTTGTTTGTTTTTAAGAAAGAGATGCCCACCAGGCAGTGGTGGCACACGCCTTTAATCCCAGCATTCAGGAGGCAGAGGCAGGTGGATCTCTGTGAGTTCGAGACCAGCCTGGTCTACAAGATCCAGTTCCAGGACAGCCTCCAAAGCCACAGAGAAACCCTGTCTCGAAAAGTAAAAAAAAACAAAGAACAAAAAAAGAACAAGAAGAAGAAGAGGAAGAGGAAGAAGAAAGAGAATTGTCTTCAAATACAGTTTCTTAAAACAAATCTTCAAGAGGCTGGAAAGATGGTTCAGAGGTTAAGAGTACTAGCTGTTCTTCCAGAGGACCTGGGTTCAATTCCCAGCACCCACATGACAACTCAAAGTTGTCTGTAACTTCAGTCCTAGGGAATCCAATGCCCTCTTCTGGTCTCTGGGCATCAGACATACACATGGTGCATAGACATACATCCATACAAAACATCCATAAAAATTAATGTAGTAAACTAAAAACAACTTTAAAAGCATGAAATGTCAGAATATAACACTTTTCCCTTTGGAACACCCTCTCTGGTCTGATGTGCTATAGGCTGTAGAGAGTCACCTGTAGGGTCCCTTCTACATCAACAGGATGGCTAGGATTTTGGAGAGCCGTGTTTGAGTTGCACCATGCGATCCAGACTCTTGACTCTTCAGTTGGAAATCTGTCCTCCTCTTCCACTTCTGATTCTTAGACTGTCTGTCGTCTAGCTATTGCCCCTCACCCCGTTCCACTGGCCTCCTGTCCCAACCCTTGTATCTGACTCCCTTGCTCAGATCCATCCCTCACCAGACCTGATGTTGCCATTTGCTACAGCAACTCTATGCCTTTCCCTGGCCTCCTTCATGCTTCCCAGATCCTGTCAAAAGTTGGCTAAGTGCATTTTGAAATGCCAAGGCGAATGGGCTGGAATGTGTTTTGCTTATTCTTGACGATCTGGACAGCAGCTGAGGTCGAATATAGAAGGCGTGAGGAAGTTCAGGTGGGATGCATGGCTACCTCAGAGCCTGTCAGTCACCCCGGGCAGGCTAATGTGCATCCCAGTGGATCCTTCCTTCTGTCTGTTGTTAAGCGCCTCTAACAAACTGCTCCTGAATTTCAAGCCTAGAGCTATCTTTCCAGCCTCCTCACATGAACCGTTTTGATTTCCTTAGAGGCTGTGACGTGACTTGGTGATTTTACATGAAGTGACATCTGAGTGCCTTTTAGACCACATTCCACAGCAATCTGCCTCGTCCTGCAGCTGATACGCTGAGTCCTGCTGTCTTTCAACATATGTGACACTCACTATTAGATAGCTTGAGACTGGAACCAGTTAAAGAGTCTGATTAAGCTCCTGGCTGGGAAGGCAGTCCCAAGTGTGAAATGTAACAGGCTCTCCCAAAACAGCTTGCCCTGATTGGGGAGAGCCAGAGGTGGTTTGGGGAGCTGGCTAGCAAAACAGATGCCTTTCCCTATCATAGTCTAGGTCCATGGTGGTAACATTTGGCAAGTTTGACTAACAGTGAGCCGAGATAACTGAACAGATGGGCAACTATTAAAAGATTTGAGGGGTTCTCATCATTCCTCAAATGGCCTTTGCCCACCTACGAGATACCCAGTTCCCCTACAAGAAGATTATGTAAAGGGTTCAGTTAAATCTCTCCTTCCTCCTCCCCTCCCCCCAATTGTAACAGCGTCAGAAGCTCTGACGTGAAGAGGAAAAAGAATAGTTGAGAAACTTCTAATTTTGCAGCCCCTTGGGATTAGATGCTGGATTCAGTCCTGCTCCATATTTTGAGAGAGCTGCTGCTGGCAGCTTCCAGAGCGATGGGTTTCCAAAATAGACCATGAGTTCTGCCTCCATCTCTGGCTACTGATATTTGGATGTTGATGAACAGAGCTGGGCACAGGGTTAGATGTAGCTAACCTTCCTTTTGGAAACTGGGATGACCCGTGATTGTCGTATTTAATCTGAAAATGCAGGGACACCTACTCTCCTGGCTTCTAGGGGGAAAACTGAAATATTCGTGCGTCCCAGCAGCTGTGTCTGTGATATGGAAGCACACTGCCTGTCCTTTGCTCAGAACAGAAAGTTGGAAAGTTCCTGAGAGTGGAAGGAATCATAGGTCCTGGCTAAAGCAAGCATATTTTATTGTCTTTGGGGCAGCAGACTGAATTTTACCAAAGGCTGTCATAAATGTCTAGAGGTATAGCTCATAGACTCCACTAAGTTAACTGGATGTTCAGAGGACTGTGCGTGGTAAGTCCAGGGCTAGTAATGTCACCTACGGACTCAGTTAAATATGTGTTTGGAAACAGAAAAAAGATGGATGTGCAATCCCATTCTCATCCCCGATGCCTCAGTTTCTATCTCTATTCCGGCCAGAATGGTGGATAACTTAAGATCCAGTCTCCAAAAACCAGCCCACTGAATACTAACTTGCTCCTAAAAGTAATGATAGCCTCCACAAGGAAAACAGCCACCTTTAATCTTTTAAACTAAAACCTCCGCAATTCAGAATCAGTACACTTTAAAATAATTTCACAACCAAAACACTGAAACAAACTGATAATAATTAATACCCAGAGGTGATGGTATTTCCTCGCTTGCTAAACGATGCAATTCTATAAACTCACATTTCATACAGTTGGGTGAACAAGGATTATCAATGGGTTTAGAGCTGGGTAATCACACTTTAACAGAATGACTGAGAATTATTAAAATGTGTTCCCACCACTTAGCCTAGTAAGCATTCGTGATATTGATTTGATGTTATGTGTTTGTGGCTTTTAGGTAAGTGCCATACAAAAAATGGTGTCAGGCAACAGCATTGGAAGCATGTAGGCAGACAGCTGGGAATAATGGAAAGCTAGTGTCTTGGGTTTTATACTATGTTAAAAAAGATCATTCCAGGCATGGTAGTACATACCTTTAAAATCCAAGTACTGGGGACCAAAAGGCAAGAGGATCAATCTGAGTTCAAGGTCTGCCTGGTCTACATAGGGAGTTTCAGGACAGCCAGGAATACATAGAGAGATCCTTGCAAATAAATAAACATGTTTGTACTGAGTAGAAATGAGCCCAAAATAATTTTCATTTTGTGTAAGCTCTTTTATCTGTTTCACATGTTTTTTTATGACAGGAAGGTGATGAGAGTCATTCTGAGAGTTTATCTTCTCTCTCTGTGTTCAGTGGGATGGTGTCAGTTTTCTGATCCTCAGTTATGCTCACATGATCTCTCTGCCCCTGTCCTTCTAGGATGGCAGACATGCTGGGACTGGTGGAGAGACTGGAGTGCGCGGTCAACCGGTTGGAGCAGCTGTCTGCAGGTCCATGTGGACCTCCTGGAGACTGTGGAGAAGTCAATGGTGTCAATGGAGGTAGGGCCTTGTTCTGATGTTATCACTGGTTTTGTTTGGGTCACTTAATCCTGCCTTCAACATTCAGTTTCCAAAATCTGTCCCCCACTTCCTTCAGATCCTGCTTCCTTCCTTTGGGAGTGATCATAGCCTTAGCCAGTGGCAGTCAGCCCCTGAGGAAGAAAGTGGAGAGATACCTTCTCCTTCTCCCACACATACACACAGATTTTATGCACCAGCCTACAAAGCAAATAATCCACCCATAATCCACAAAAATGATCAAGGTCTGTGCCTCTGAGGAATGTAATCCATAACCAAAGGGGCGTTATTATTCTGTTTTGATGTGTAACTGTATTATTGAAGTAATTATCAAAGCTAGAATGAGCATGCTCAGTTAGAATGCAAATTGAAAGGGATTAAGGTGCTGTGGGTTTAAGGACATTTTGGGCACTGCAACTTTGACTGCATCTTGTCCCAGGTTAAGCCAAAGATGGAGCAAATCCATGACCACAGCATGTCACCTGACCTCTGACCATCCCTAACTAATAAGCCTCTTGAGGTGGGAACAAGTGCCAAGGGTAGATCCCTAGAGTTCTTTTCTGAAAAGAGCTTTTGGGTTTGAGAGGTGACGCAGTGGGTAAAGGTGCTTGCCACAAAAGCTTGGTGATCCAAATTTGGTCCTCAGGACCCACATAAAGGTGGAAGGAGAGAGCTGACGTCACAAAATAGTCCTCTGATTGCCATTTATGTGATGTACAGTGTTCATACACACTATGCCCACATACATCCAAACTTCTTTTAAAAAATATTTTCAAAAACTGTACAGTCAAAACATAGAATTAAGAATTTTCTTTACACTCGGGAGGCAGAGGCAGGTGGATCTCTGTGAGTTTGAGACTAAGCCTGGTCTACAAGAGCTAGTTCCAGGACAGCCTCCAAAGCCACAGAGAAACCCTGTCTCAAAAAAACAAAACAAGAAAAGAATTTTCTTTAAGCCAGCTGCGTGTGCTGATACACACCTTAATCCTAACACTCAGAAGATGGACACAGGAGAATCAGGAATTCAAGGCCAGCCTCAGCTACATATCTAATTTAAAGCCAGCTAGGGTTACATGAGACTCTGCCAAAAAAAAAAAAAAAAAAAAAAAAAAAAAAAAAAAAAAAAAAAAAGCCATCAAAAAATAGCAGATAATCCATATGGCAAACTTTAAGTTATCTACAATAATTTCTCCACTTCCTTTTTGTGTAAGATTGCAATCTAAGAAATAAAAATGAAGAATACCTATTAAATTTGAATTTCAAATGGAGAAATTTTTGTATCAATGTTTCTCAAAAACTGGGTAGCACATAATTATCTTAAAAATCTGCTCATTGCTCATCTGAAATTAAAATTTAACAGGGTGATCTGCATTGAATCTGCAGTTCTATTCTTGACCTATGTGCACACACACACAGTTCCTCTGACCTGTTTTAAGTGCTGCCAGGCTTTGGGGAGCTGAGAAAAGCCTTGGGCAAGAGAAGATTTCAATACCTCTTTCCCCAGGGAAGACCGGCACTGCTGCTTCTAGAATGCTGGGTGTCTGGGGACCTGTATCTCCTGTTCCATGCCACTGAACAGAAAATACTGTATGAACTCAAACATACTGGTTGTGTCTTTCCCCCTGAGCATGCCGAAAACAAAAGTGGCCTAAACAGGTTGAAAGGAGATTGTTTACAGAGAGCCCGGGGTGGGCCAGAGCCTCACCCCTACCCCCATCTAAGATGTGCCCAGGGTTTCATCTTAAGCCTTTCCAGTTGATGTCTGGGTCTCATAGGCCTCATTTCTATGGCAATGTCTTTCCATCGTCTCCAGCAATTTTGTTTCATTACGTCCTTGACAGTAAGTGGCTGCAGACATTTTCTTAAGGTCACTGTCCTTCAATAAAAAGCCTGTAAACACACAAAATAAAGTTAAAAATCCAGGAGATAAAAAAAAAAAAGATTTAAAAAAATCCAGGAGATAAGGGGTATCTAAACAAAGAGGGAAAGCCCAAACTTTGAACCTTATACATTCAAAAAAGGTAGCAAACAAAACTATGTATTTTCTTTATTTTAAAAGGGGAGAGGGCTCTGGAAAGATGGCTCAGTGGGTAAAGTGAATTCAGATCCCCAAAACCCATTTAAAAGCTGAGCCTGTAATCCCAGCACTGGATACAAAGATGGTGAATTCATCTAGGGAACCTCTGAGCTCTGGGTTCAGTGAGAAATCCAGCCTCATAAGGTGGACAGCGATTAAGGAGGACACTCAAATCAACCTCATACCACTAAATGCAAAAGCACATGCATGTACACCCACACATGTGCAAGCCTGTACACATGTATGCACACACACACCACATGCACACAGACAGACAAAAGAGAAAGAAGTGGCCTGAGGGGGAAAAAAATCAATAGTCTCTAAGTGAAATTGGAAGATGAAACATTAAATTATTTGACATTTAAACGGATATTTTCTAATACAACAAATTATTTCCAGTCAGTTATTGAAGCAAAGGCTTCCTGGAAAAATTAGCCAGCAACTTATTTTACTTGAAGTGGGGTCATTAGCAAGTAGGATAACTAGGGAGGCATCTGAATGGGACCCATTCTTAAAACATTTTTATTTAAACTTAAATAATGTTATTTCCTCTCCTTAGTCAGCATTGGTGATCTTAAACCCTGAAGCAGCCTCTTAGCCAGCTGAGGGGGCACACACCCAGAATCCCAGCACCTGGGGCACACACCCAGAACCCCAGCACCTGGGGCACACAC